GTTGGATTAACATTTACAGGATTTTTAAAGTCTATACTTTATTCTTTTAAGAAAGTATTCACAGCAGATGTTATACTACTTTCTTCACTTGTATTTGCAGTCTGTACTACATTACTATATGTGCACTTCAGTGTAGATGATTCTACATTACCCAAACATCCAGGTAAAATGGCTAAAATCTTGGCAGTGTTGAAGTCACTAAAGCCACAGTTCAAAGAGTCAGTAAATTCCAGTTTAACGTTCTTAGTGCTAGATCAAAAATTTCATGGTCACATTATGCACTATTTTTTGCACAGATGTGTTACGAATTTTAACAGGCTGATCCTCCCTCAACAGGCTTTATGCCAGAATTTTCCATGTGCCAACTCAATTTTACACTGGACCATGTATTGCTTGTCCTCTAGCTCCTGATTAAAGCCTATAAAAACACAAAGCTGGCACAAAGCATACAACTGGCATAAACAGTATGTCATATCATCACATGTCTATGCCTGGTTCAGAGGAAATTTGGACTACATGAACTAGTAGCATGTAGACAGAAGATAAATGGTTGCGGAATCGATGTCTGGGAGTTCTGCCATTGATTTCCAGGGGTCCTAAATTTCTACCCAGTGATTTCATGCATGTAAAATTTAACGCATGAATCAAAGTCAAGTTCAGTGAAGTGTAAATAAATATGACAACTTCTTCCTGTCTCCTATTTTGCTCATCATACCAGATTATCAACAATCAGACTCCAAATTTGACAATACTCAATAGAATACGTATTAAATAAACTTCCCAACTGATCAATGAAGATATAAATCGTATGTGCTAATAATGCCTTACTATTTAATCCTTGAGGGAGCAGAACAAAAAACTATTAATATTAATAATAAGCAAATAGAACTGAATGGAAAATCCATGAGACTTTAATGTGTCTTACCCACTGATACATTATTTGACTTTGACACTTTTAACTTGAATTATATAATCATAAGAACCTCTAATGACCTTAAGCAAATATGTAAGTATATTCCAGATTATGCATGCCTTTCTGCATTCCAGTTAATGAAATTCCATATTGAGAGTTATTTATTCTCATTTGCATGTGTGTTACAGAGCTGTACTTTAAAATTATTCTGTACTTTAAGAATTTTTTAAATACTAGTGATATTGTCAGTTAAATTCAGTGTATTTATTCTTTTCCATGGAAGTGCTCCCACACCAGACTATTAGAAATATTTTACCTCTTAAATTCAAGCCAACGAAGTGAATCCTGAGCTTCGAAGGCCAGTGTGGCAAGAGTTGAAGTTACCCTTCCTTCGCCTGTACTCAAACTCAAAAAATGACATATATCCTCTGAAAAATGTGACATTTGGTTCTCAAGAGGTCCACAGTAATATAAACTGCTGGCAGGGCAGATTTACTAAAGGCAACCTAAGAGACCTATAGTCCAACCTGAGCTCCCCTCAGGAAACTTCATGGTCCCTGTTAGCTCATGAGCAAGTATTTGCAGTTTGTACTAGATATACAAACTAGTCACCACACTCAGTGAGGTCCACATATCTAGTTAGCTGACCAAGTGCAAGTGTTAATGCTATGATCAGGTGAACTGCTCTCTAGACGTCAGTGCCTATGACGACCATATCACCACTGACTACAGCAGGAGCTTAAACACTGAATTCGTATACAGACAGCAGTGTATAGACTGCTAAATTTTGATGTCTTACTCAGGAACCAAACAGCACCATGTTCAGTACGTTCAACGCATTTCTGTTTATTTTTGTTAGCTGTTGCCATAATTCTTCATATTTTTGCCAATCTGCTACGGCAAAATCAAAATACTTTTTGTGAAATGGGGGAAGCAATGTGGAGCAGAGGGGTAAAAAGAAGTCCAGAAAAAAAAATCTTAAAATACTTGTAAAGGCACAGAAGTATATGTATAAAATTATAATTCTAGCAAACACCGTGTTATTTTAGCAGCCAGAAACATGCTTTCTCTAAATCTAGGAAGAAAAAAGTTCTAGAAAAAATAACATTTGAAAATCATTTTCAACACACAAAAAGAGCTAAAATGCAGAGTCAAATGTTTCTACCCACAGTCATCATTCTATACAGAGCTATTGTTATACAACCTGATGTTGACTGGGGTTTTTGCCAGGAGTAACATTTTTTCATCAAAAGCTAATATGTTAAATACTGCTTCTGCAAACTCCTTTTATGAGCAGCAAAAGCCTATTTCTCTGAACCAACAAACAGAATATGCACCAGAAACCATTATATAGCATGGAAATATAATCCAGTAATTTCATGCCCTGCATCTGTAAATCCTCCAAATGCCATTTCTCTGTGCTAAATTAATTTAGGTTGATTTAGATCAAATGAAAACACTGGATAACTAATGTAAACTAGAATTTCCTAAGATATTATTTTCTATCTTCCAAATACTAAAAGCTTACTCTAATTTTATTGACTAATTATGATTGGCAGGTTATTTGCAGAAAAGCAAAAGCAAATCACTTCAGGATGAGTACAATAAATACAACGTGAGCCTTAAGCCATAAAAACATTCTCCTGAACAAAACGATTTCTCAAATCAAGACAAGCTACGTCCATAACTTGCAGACCATGACATATTAGGACATAAATTCAGGTAAAAAATTTTAAAAATAAGAGCAATACAAACTAATGTAGGTAGCCTGTAAGTAGGATATCTGCAATTTGTCTGAAATTGATAGCACTATGATTTTGCTTATTTTTTACATACAGGGCGAGGTTATTCTGTTATTTGCATCAGAATAATTTTGTTAAAAGCACCTGTATTACTAAAGCACAGCAAAGGAATGTTTGGCCCATTATCAATAAATTGGGTTTCATAAGTGCACTTTACATGTAGGCATATATTCTGCCCAGTTTACTCAAACATATTTTGATAAGCTTTCTTGTGTTTGTACAATAGAGTCTGATCCGCATTTACAAAGCAAACCAAGTAAAGAAGACATCTGTATTTATCCCTTTCACTGAAGTGTGCATTCAATCATGAGGTCCTATTTCATATATGTAGCAGCCCAGAGTTGGTACACTGTGGATGTACCTCGGCTCCACTCTATGAAGTGTAAAGGGAAAAGCTAATCAAGTTTTGCCAAGACCTTCAAAGATCTAGCTACTGAATATCGGTGTGGATCAGCTATCAGAACAAGTCAAAAATACCTGGTTACATGACATGCCGTTATATTTTTGGAATCTAGAAGAAAGATGCTGCCTTACACAACTAATACAGTCACTGGTTTTAACACCTGGATTCATTTTGATTGATAATATCCTATCACATAGATAATAAAAGTAACAGCACAGATAGCAATGGTCCCTTCTAGAACATCAGGGATGCTTACTGTACAAACCCTCCAGGGACTCTGTATACATAGCATAACTGTGAGCAAGTCCTTGCTATTAGCAAATCCAGTAAAGTCATGTTTTTGATGCTAATGCACCACTGGCTAGCAATCATAATATGTACAGGGAGACTATGTTCTTATGTTCCTTTTTTGTAACTATGATCTTAGATAAACTGGAGCTTAAGAGCTCCCAGTAAAAATTTCTAGGCTTTCCTTCAGCGTTTTCCTTTTTTGTTTTGCTTTGTTTTGTTTGTGTGTTTAAGCTTTCTATTACTACAGCTATGCTCCGAACTCAGTTACTCTTGCTTTAGACCTTGCTGTTCTCTAGCATTGTAAAAATGAAATAAATACCCTAAAAGTAATATATTCCTATAGACTGGTTTTACTCAGTAAAAATCTCAAAGGAATTCTGTTCTCTCTACCACTGAATAAAGAAATAACAGGACAAATCTCCAGCATGAAAAGGGTTTCCTTCAAGGACTTGTTTATACTATGTTTAAAATCCTTTTCTTAAGTGCCTACTAGAGCATCAAGGAGAGGAAGAAGTGTTAATAACTGTTGCTTTGTTGTTAAAAATAATTTATATAAAGGAATCTGTGGACCTCCTAGTATGAATATGTCTTTCCTTCTTATGCTGATTGCTTGTCTTTTTAAATCCTTTCAGGCCTCAGTTCAGTAAAATAGTTAAGCACGGTGCTTAATGTAAAGTACAAGCTCAGTTTCCACTGGTTCTTAAGTGTGCTTTTGGGTGATTTACTGAGTCATGGCCTTTATTATTAATGTTTCCTTTGAAATCAAACATTTTTCCAGAGCAAAATAATTTAGGAAACTCAGGAAGTTTCTCTAAAGATTATTCTACTGAAAGGAGGGGGCAAGAAGGAAAGCCTCAACACTTGAAGCCCACCAAAGCATTGAACGTATCTCAATATTTGAGAGGCTCAAGTCTTTGCATGTTTGCCTGGCATTCCTAGCTCAGCGTTCCTAAGCTCATTTCTGAAGAGTGGTGAAAAACTAAAGCCAAAATTTAGCAATTGTAGAAAAGGTAGCATAATTAATCTCGCACACTAAACTGGCAATCAGTTTGTAAAATACCAGATGACTGTAAATCTGCACAGTGATATAAGAAACAAACGGGTAACACTGTCCTTTCAGTTTTCTGTTAACTGGTTTGTGATAGGATTATGCTTTTGTTCCGGCTTGTCTCCTGCGACTGACCACTAAAGTTATATAACCGACACCACCCTTTTACAAGTATCTTCTTGCTACACATCACCAAAATAATGAGAATACAAATAGAAAATAGAAAGACAGAAAATTAAAGAGGACAAGAAAAATAAAGTGTCAGATCCACTCACAGATACAAACAGGCGTGGGCCAGAGGCTTTAGTAGAGTAATGCCAATTTACACCACCTGAAGCCTGGCCCAAACTGTTTATATACAAAGTGAACGTATGATACATGAATCTACAAAAGCTTCACATACCAAATTGTTAAGTTATTATTGTGATGAGAGTGGAAGCATAATGATTACTAAAATGCTTCATTGCATGGCTTCAGTTTTAGCAAGACTTAATACATGGCTTCACATGATCTTTGCAAAGCAAGGATACCATAGATTCTTACCTGAGCTTTTATTGGTTTTGTTTTGTCTACTCTTTACTTGCTCAGTCCATAATGTAGGATAACGAGAAGCTATATCTAGAAAAAAAAAAAGTAAAACAAAGTTTGTAAACGTTGTAGATTTTTAAAAGTTACTAGAAGTTAAATAGTACGTGCGAGTCTTAAAGCTACTCAGACCTAAAACAGAAAAGGGCACACAGTTTTCTACTAGAACAAATAAAATCTTCATTCATGACAAGACAAAGAAAGAATTGTACAGCAATGTCTAACATCCTCACTCCTTTTGAAGAGTTCCTTCCTTATTCCATTTACACAAAAAGTTGAAAGAAATGCTTGTAGAATCAAATTGTATTTAATGAGAATAGAAATATCCTGATGTGGCCCCAAAACATGTAATAACTTTAGATTAGATTCTGCTAGATTTAGGCTAAGCAGTAAGAGAGTCTCAGGATAGAACTACCATTGCGTATAGGCCTTCAGCTGTTCATTTACAGAGCAGTAAGTTTCATTAGAGATAAATAGGCCTGGTAAAAGACAAATCCTATATAGCTAGGTAATATATTGTGGACAGAATTTACCTTTTAACTTGCTTATTTGGCCATATAGTCTTAATCTTTACTGTGGCTCAAACTTAAAAACTGTCTCTACCTTTAGAAGTGACAATCAATTTGCTACTATAAGATTCTATAGTTATAATATCACCTCAAAACTATCACATGAAATTTATTATTTGTAAGTAAAGGCACAGCAACTTTCAATTTCTATGTTCAACTTTAAATTTCACTACCCTGATCTAAGGTAGCATTTGGTGCTGTGATATATGGTCCCTCGTACATAGTTAAATATTGTTCTATTTCAATTCCTATGGATGCTCACCTTCTTCATCACCTTGAGGCTGAGTCTCCAGCGCGGGAGCTGAGGCATCATCTGAATTCAGAATGGAAAAGATTTGCAAGGAGACTACAATTATGAGAGTAAGCTAAATAAGTGTACATACGTGATTGATACTAACGATTTGCACATAGCCCCGGCCGGTAAATAAACAGTAATTTAAGTATCATTAATATGTACTGTAAAGTATAGATATATTACACCTATGAACTACATACTATAGATGAATGGCTTTAAAGGTTATGACTGGTGAACTCATTACAGGGTCTTTGATGAGATATGAAGTGATCAGGTCGCTTCCCAGATAGTACTCCTTCATTTTTAATGATGCACATTGACTCCTATAAATTGTTAACTGATCAGATCAACGTTTCTAAAAACCAATTGCATAAAAGTGTATCAGGAGTAAGCCCTGTCAAGGTAAAAGCAGCCTAGGATGAATGAGTGGTTGCAGACATGTTGACACCTTAAAATGAAAGGTACAGCAGAATCTGTCTAAGAGGCAAGTTGATTTTATAAGCAAGATTCATAGATTAATGAACCAGAAATTGTTTGCATTGTTCTTATCCTTCCTTCAGCCATCTCCATCCGTTCACAATCAACCATTACTGCAAGACAAGAGGGAGGAAAATTTATCAGAAATGATAAGAGTACATGAATAATTTTAAATTCAGTAAAATATAGTGGAAGCAGTGCTGGAAAAGAAAATTTCAATATGAAAAAATGATTTGAGTTAGCGATCTTTGAGAAAGAGCGGTACCCAAAGACCCATCTTTAATGTATTATGTTTTCTTTATTTAAAATGATTTCAGATATTGAATAAACAGGATTTAGTAGGCCTTGATAGTAGATATCTTCCAGCTGCTGCTGTTTCCTGTGGAAGAGAGCAAGGTGCCCTGCAGCAAATAGCATCTTCCATGCCTTTCGTTAGTATTTCTTGCAGTCTCACAACTAGGTCTCAGAGCAACGTAGTTTCCAGATTGTTTTCCTGACATTTACACAGAAGCTAGAAAGAAATGATAGCGTGAAGCTTCCTCTTGCACATAGTTCTGCTATGGTAACTGTAAGCAGCAGTTTTAAGGGTAACATGTTATCTGTTTTAGTTTCTCCTTTCTACTGCAACTCAGAACAGCCATCTCCTGTTCTCTTTGTTGTCACTATCATAGTGTTTCCAAATCTGTATTGTCTTCATGAAGATCATGTGAAAGATTTGGAAGCACTCTGTCCTTCTCATTTGAAGGCCACAACCTAATTCATAGGAAATACAGATACCAAGTAAATCTGATACCAGGTAAACTTCAAATTTACAGTCATGGAACACTAACCTCCATGCTTTTCACAAAAGCAAAGCAGCAGCAGTAGAAATTTATTTTCATGGCAAAATGTTTTTACCCAAACATAAGGAGACTTTCCTTAAGAATGTTGCTTCTTCAAGTTCATGCAATGACAAGATACTTTTCTCCAATGACATAATAAACTGTTACTTCCCATTAGTTTTGATGGCATTTTTGTAGTCTAGGTGGTGGAATAAGACCATTGATTAATTTCAGAGAGGCCATCAAGTATCCCAGTGAACTAAGAATCAAAACATACATTTAGGTCATCAGTGACTCAGAAAACTTGCAAATTTATAGAGGGTAGTCTAGGGTAGGCATAGATTATCAAGAGCCCTGCCACAAACTCAGTTTTGAGTTTAAGAGACATTTTTCTAATCATCTTTCTGTACACACTTTCAGTTTGTGCCACATTTGGTCTCTTGTTATTACCTAAAATTCAGCTATAATACTGCAATTTGAGAGATCAGCCCAATCAAAATTATCCTGTTGACAAACAACAGTGTTCAAGAAGCATCTAAGACACAGGATATCAAAATATTAAAGAAAAGAAAAATCCCTTAGATGCCTGAAATGGGAGCCATAAAACAGGTCTCAGGTCTTGAATCAAACATAATCCAAAAGATATTAACTACAATCCAGAACTGGAGGAGCTGCAAAAGCTCCTGAATTACCCTTAATCTGAGGGAGGACAACCCCTTTAATTTTCTATTTGCATTCTGTCAGGTCTATCTCTTTTCAAAAAAAAGCTTTTTGTTTTCAGAATGAAAAGATATGTAACACTTCACTGTTCTTAAGAAAATTTGATACAGAATAACAACTGTAGAATTCCAGAGCAGTTCAGAGAATCTTCACGTTAATTAGGTACGTCATGTGTTATCCTTGTAAGACTTCTTGGCTGGCCCATGTATACCAGTGCATACGTGCTCACATGTGAACAGAGACCATTCTGCTACCAAAGTTCAGTTACCAAGAAGTTTTCAGGCATGTAGTCAGCTACGAATCAGAGAAAAGTCAATGTAACCTTGTCTCAGATACCTGTGCTTTTCAAACAATCCAAACATATTCCCTGGCAAAAGGAGGGAACTGTGGGGTCTGAGGGAAGATACACTAGGAAATGTCCTTTGAGCTTTGATCCTGTTCAGTTCAATATGCAAACCTGCAAACATGCAAATACAGCTCTTGAGCTCCAAAACCTGCATCTAGAAATTTCCTTTCAGTGTTAAAGTACCCAGAGAAAGCAAGCTGCAGAACTGCAACGGATATGGCCTGTGAGGTCCTCTTCTCTTGTGAGCCCACGCAGGACATCTTGGCAGAAGAGACTCTCAGGCCCATTTATTCTGCCTGTTGAGGACAGTCTTCAAGACCAGACTTGAATCCCTGGAGCATGTCCTCTGCAGTGCGGAGAATGTCATGAGCCTGACTAAGCTTGCTCGATTACAATACTAGCAGCTACACCCATCCAAGTACCTCCAACTAGTCCATAAGAGCCACATAGAGGGATGACAAGGTAAGGAGGGTAGCATGCTAAATTTATGGTTACTCCAAAAATTACTGCCATGGCCTTTCAAGCTCTTGTATTACTGAACTATAAAATATTTCTGCTGTGCTAATTGTGAAGCCAAAGCACAGATCTTTAACTCAGACAGTTGATCTGATTCAGAACTCTGTGATGGTCTCTAAAGACACTGTGATGTCTTTAACAATGTTACTTTATTTAAAGCATAAGGCAGTGACTGGTTGGAAGGGTGGGGAGAGAAAGTAAGCAGCATCTGAGAAGAGCCAAGAACCACCTGGGAACAGGACAGCTGTCCTTTGTACAGCTGGTTTGTGCTGGAGAGTAAAAAGAAGGCATGAGTAAAATGCAACTGTATCATTTTAGATGTAAATATACATGATGAGGAGGGAAAAATGATAAATTATGTTCATTTAAGCCTATTGTTCTATGATTGTTCATTCATTCAGGCTTCAGCAACTTGGCCCTCACGATCACAGACAAAAATAAAGAATTCCAAGATCTAGATAAGTTTTATATATGAGATAGTTCACATAGTTCAAAGCCAAAAATGAAATTCCTGACCTAAAGGAAATTTTCCCAGAAAATAATGGGAAATTAAGGTTACTAGAGCCCACAATTTGTCTGGAAATACATGAAGGAAAGATTTTCCACCAATTATTAAATACCTTGTCATTATTAGCCTTTAAAGAGATATTGATTTTCTTAACCTAAGAGCACAATAATTTATTTAAAAGTTAGGTATATTATAATGCTGCAAAAGTTCCTGTGAAAATTGTATTACTTACATTTTAAGTGGCTCAAACTGGATATTCATTATCATTAGAAGAAATATGAGTAACTTCATTAAAATTAATTTAGCCCAGTGTAACTGACAACAATATTTCCTGTATTACTTTCAGCTGACTTTAAAGTTTATTTAAGGGGTTAGAGGGTGAGAACTTTCATTTGGTTTAGAATACAAATATCTTCTTCATTTAAATCCACCAGCCATGTTGGAGTCACATTAGATTTTGCCCTGATGACATGATATATACCATGATCTGCCTCTAAAAACAATAATCATTCGGCCATGAATGTAAGCCACTATTTGAATTAATCACAATAGAGAATGAAGTGCTATATCCAAGATAACTCAAGCATCAGTTGCTATGGAGATAAAGTGATGACGCCAGTTCCTGGGATTTTGGGACTCCAGAATGCTGACTTTATCAAAGAGACAGAATAATCAGTCCTCTAGGGCAAGAAAATAATAAGGGAGAAGAGTTCAGAGAATAGCTATGGGAAGAAAAATTATTTTCCCACCAGCTCAGGACAGTAAAGTCTGTAGAGCTGAGACTAGAAAAATATAATGTGTATGCATATATAGACAAATATACACATACATGTATACATACATTTATACCCCAAAGCTTACTAAATACCTTCAATGCCCACATAAAATGGTAGCATGTGTGCATGTACATATATATGTGTGTATATATATGTGCGTGTATATATATATATAAATATATGCATGTATCACACATTATACAGATAGATTGATAGACAGATAGATATTTTAAAACTAGGGGAAATGAAAGTGTTATATCCCATAGCTATTTTAGTTTCTATTTAAAGGCATTTTAAGATATTTACCTGTTTTTCCTGCACCTTCTCGCTGTGGCAACTTCTCACTTACAGAACCTGCAATTGGAAAAAGGAATTAACCAGAAAAAATACTGTTTTCATTATTAATGTGTTTTCTAAGTAACATAGTTCAGTTTTGAACAGCAATAAATATCAGATAATTCTTCTTTTGCAAGCTAAAGACTTTAGCTTGGCCTGATATCTGCATTTGTGCATCCTCAAATCATTGACCATTGATAATTTTATTAATCAGAGAAAGAGATGACATTAAACACTACATAAATACAAGCACAAGAACATGCTCATGTGCTGCGCAGTCTCAGTGTCCCTTCCAAGCAGACACACAGATGTCACATTCTACAACCACGTGCATCGTCCTGGCACGGTGTGAAACCCTATTCATTTGCAGTTTCTCGTGCAGGACAGCTCCTTTCCTACACACGCAGTCTTGCCCATCCACCTCAAGTGCTCTGTAAGGTTTCTTGAGTCTCTTGCCCAGTCCTAGGTTAGTTACGGAATTAACTTGCAGAGGATATTCAGTGAATCAAAAGCTTGAATGTCTTTAGGATATGCCAAAACAACCATCCTCTTTGAAGAGACTTTACACTGTGGCAAGAACAAATGCTAACAGTAACTCTCCTGTACATGCATGGAAAGTCCATGCTGGAGTTTCTAGCACAGACAGTACATCTGGAACTGTAGCTTTCTAATACTGTGATTACTGAAAAGGATTGTGAACTGAGCTAGACAGCTGTATAGTTGTACACAAATTCTAGGGCTGGAAGAAGCAAAAGTAGATTTCTTCTGACCTCTTTTTTTCTCACAGGCCATTACATAGCACATGTTCTCGCGCTATGTCTACTAACTTGACAAGAGCATATTTTCTAGGGCTGTAATGCCAGGAAATTAGGGATTCTGTGTGTGTCAGAGGAAACAGCGACAGGCCTTAACAGTCTGAGCCTGAGATGGTTGTAGGAGAGGTCCACAGAGCTGTAATCCTTAGGAAAGAAAACAATAGTAGTAGGAAAAGGAGTTATGAAGTTTGCAGAAGATTTAACAGCTTATTCTACCAGCCTGGACTCCAGCCCAACACAGCATCCAGTCTTGATTTGAAATTATCAAGACATGGAGAATTCACAGATTTTCTTGAAAGTTTTTACAACAGATAGTTGTCCTCAGGGTTTAAAATAGAAACACTGTCTTATGTTTCACTTATGTCACATTCTTACAATCATTTGTATGATCCTAACTCCTAGCCATTTCTTATTGACACATCTGTCTCTGCTGTATTAAAAAAAAAAAAAAAACCTTTAAATGTCGTATTTTTCTCTCTGAATAGCCAAATACGTGATCAAAAATTGAAAAGTATAATGGCTATAAATTCTTGCCACAGTTCTTCTTGCATACACCTGGAGTAATGAAAAAACATTGCCATCTGACAGCTCGCTGGTAGTGTGTGAAATGATTTGTTGCCTTAATTGCCTTAATTTATTTCCCTTTGAGAGAACTAAATTCATTAGAAATAAAAAAAAATGCAGCATAATAAATTTGTTCTAAAATAAGCATTTAAATAAGAGAACTTACTACGTCAAAGCCTTATTCACCATGTTGAACTGATGGTTACTTCAGCATGAAATTTACACAAGGAAGTTTGCCAGAGAAAAAGCAGCTATCATAACAAATCTGGCAGGCATATTCAAAAGCCTCCATAAAAGAATACGTGACCATGAAACCAAGCTGACATTACCTTCTGATGGGTTCGGCTTTTAATGCAGTTTTTATACATTTTACACATTTTAGTTTGGACTTGTTTCCTCTTTTGTGGTAGTGTATTTTTCTTGCATCATCTTTGAATCAGCAGAAATTCAATATACTTAGTAACAGTTGCATCAGTATTAGTTCAGATATGAAAAAAAGGCATTATCATCATAGGAAGTATATCCAAAGGTGCTTGGGATAGCTTGCTATGAGCAGACTAGAACACTAAGCCCTGAAGTTCAACCTGAAGAGGAGGCAGATTCTTGTATTCGTGCTAGTTAAGTCAGAAGATCTGAGCTTGCATCTGATAAGAAGCCCATCTTGAATTCAGATAAGATGTTCCAGGTATAGGAAGTACTGTGTACGAAATTATAGACTTTTCTAATTGCACTATAGACAAGTGATGCAAATCTTTCCTCAGATTTCATCCAGCTACATCCGGATGGAAACTACAACTATGTAGTTTCTCAAATTAATTTTGTGTAGTTTCTCAAATTAATTTTGATGCATAAGGGTGTAATTACAAATTCTCTTAAAATTCTAGAGGTTTTAGGTCTAACTCACAACCACACTAAAGTGATTTACACTAATTAGTCAGTAAAAAAGAGGTCCTCACGTGGGGATGTGTGTGATGAATGCCCACTGATAGCCCCCTCGCACTACAAAGAGTGAAAAAGTGAAGCCTTAGTTTAAGTGAGACGTGTTCCCTGTCTGTTCTTTATATACACTCAGAACTAGCATTATAAATGGAATGGAAAACTGAGTTCATATCTAAGCAATTTAAAGTATTTGTGAAATCTACATAGTAGTCCACATTCTAGACCAAAAGCGGAAAAGCCTTTCGAGATTTCATTAACATCAAGATGCCTTCAGATTACTCCATCTGTATGCTACATGGTGAGAAATAATGACTTCATGATATTGATGTACAATCAGGAAAATTGAACTTTTTTCTATGCTTTACTTTCTTTTACCCAAATTTTGAAGGAGAACTGATGGGTCGGCATTCATAAAGGCTAATTATAGCATAGTGAAATTAATTTCACTATGAAATTATATGAAGGCTGGGAAATTAGGTTCCCTAGGCTGACCTTAACTTTTTAAATATACTTGGGAAGCTAAAGAAAACAGTCACAGAACTTGCTAAAAAGTGAAATCACTGCCCTTCACATACTTTCACTTGAGATTTTAAATTTATATATATATAAATATTGGCAGAAATTTTGTTTTGGTATTCACTCTGATTTGGGGAGGATGTTAGTAAACTTACATTGTTTTTTCCTACCATTTTCTGAATATATTCGAGTTAGAAGTACTTCTAGCTAAAATGGTTATAGGAAGTTGCATATGGAAGTATTTAGGGAATTATATCTTCAATACTCACGACAGAAGTGCTCACGTTTTCAGTCAGGCAACAAGCAGAAATCACAGCATATAACTTTTCAAAAAGTTAGGCAATACAAAGCCTTCAAGTTTTTAATGCAGTATAAGCAAGCAAATCACCACGTAAATATATTGATGTTAGCGGAGAGGGCAAGGAGGGATGTTAGATTCAGCAGCCTTACTTTAACAAGAATAATTTAGTACCATTCTATTTCATATATACTTATCTCCTCCATTTGCTTAGCTATCCATCCATTACTGATTCTGATGAATTTTTTTAAATGATAGAAATATTCATGCCTTAGTTTATTACAAAACCCACAATTCAGCCCATTTTCAGTCAAATAACTTCTGAGGCATAGTAAGTCTTTCAGGCAATGTGAGGTGATTTTTGTGGTTTATGATTTTAGCATATATATTTTCTGTAGTTCTGATCACATATTTTGTGCTGTAAAGGAGAAAGGGAATTCTTATTATTATCTGTTTTAGATAATGACTTTGGATCTCCTGCTAAGGAATACTTGTCAAGAAATTATTGAATGCAGAGAACAAGTGAAAGGAACATAAACTTCCCATGTTGTTCTGTATTTTGCACATGCGTTTGTATGAGTGTGTATGTATAGGGAAAGTACTATGTACAGTGACAGAAGAACCAGGTAATTCAAGGATGGAAATTTTTCTCAGCTAACAAAAGTAATATAACGTAAGCTCAAAAAAGAGCATTGCTTTCTGAAATATATGTTCATTTTCACTATATTATCTGATGATGATATTACATAGGAGGGAAGAATTCTAAATTCTTAAAGGTATTCATATTTTTGCCTTAAGAGACGATGATGGCATCTTAAATGTGAGGTAGCAAACTAGCCTCAAAGAACAATAAAACATGTCGCTATCCCTCTGCAACCTCACTGGCATCCTAAGCTAGAAGCCCAGAAGAGTTAAAATGGCACACAAATCCTGCAATAGGAGAATATTTTATTTTACAGTGACAATTTAACACCTGCTTCTCAATTTCTGACCCATTTCCCAGGACTCTGGGACTGGAATTTCTGCAGTTCCCTGCAGTGCTGATAACAGAGATGGAGAGCTGTAAAAATGTCTATTTTACGTCTGGTGTTCTTTAGTGAAAGGATTGGGGGACATTCATCATTTTTAAGGAGCTTTCTTTTTAATGCTGTCATGGGAATGTGTTTGATTTACACTCCTCCTCACCACTGCTCCTGGAACAGTGGAGATTATTTTCGTGGAGTGGAATGGCATTCTGAGATTTATCACGTGTGTTTTGCAGTACCAAGTGCTGGTGTGGGAAGGACTGGGGAGGATGGATGAAGAGCTTTTCAGGTAAGGATGCAGTAATTAAATGGAAGGTTTTACATTAAGCAGCTGGAAAGAGTCCTGCATTTTTTAATGCTGCTTTAGAACCTGCATCCTTCCACATCTTTTGTGTCTAGCAAAATAATAAGAGTAACCAAAATAACATAGTGAGCACTTAATTGCTCATACAGATATTACAGACACATAAAAAATGTATTTTCTATTACAGGATCTGAGATAGCTTTAGGGAGAATCGTGTTAAGCAGATAAGGAATATTAATGTTTAGATAAAGTTATGCGACCTATCCAAATCACATAGTGAATATGAAACATGGATAGGGAAGAAAAACAGGAAACCAAATTTCTAACTGCCCATTCTCAATTTTACTCCATTTTTCTTTTATTAAAATCAAAGTTCTTTCAGGCTGCCATGCTCTTCTCTCCTATTTCTGGACATTCACCCAAGCCGAAGGAGGTTCTGCTGGGAGAAAATGAAAGGCAAGAAATTATCCCATAATTTAGGAAGAGCTCAGTTGATTAGGTATGTTTTCACACCTTACAAGATGTTGCTGCAGAACTAGCCTGGAACTGAAAACACTGAAAAATTTTATTAAAAAGGGAGTTTTTCACACATTCTATGCTACCACATTTCCTAAGAGAAAATCATCTCAAAAGGATGTTCACAACTGACTCTACCTGACATCTTGATGGTCTGCACGGGTTCTACTCTTAAGGGAAAAAGCTGGCAAAAAGTGATGGTAGGAGAAAAAGTCTGGTATATATACATAAACCTCTTTGAAATAACTACAACACCACTCCTGCAGAACACACAGAAGCAAGAGAGGACTACATAAAAATGCAGCTGTCAGGATGCCATTACTACAAGGGATCTGCTTGTAATGTCAAGAAATAGCAAGACAATGCCTGCAAAGAGGTTAGCAACCACAAAAAATGCATTAGATGCCTAGGGACAATAAACTGAGAAATAATGGAATATCACAAATGCTACTTAAGATAGGAGCACATCTATTCAACTTCAGTATACCTACTAATTTTTTGACTGAAATTCCTGTGCATAGTGGTGCTAAAAAAAGTATAAAAGTGAATCAGTGATGTTCTGGAAAAAATCAACAGTCCTGCTGGGGTAAAAAAAGAAAAAACTTTGTTATACTAAACAGATGGCAATTCTGAACATATACTGGGAAATGGGAGAGAGGTGCAATTCTGCTTCAGGCTCTAAGTCTGCAGTGTAAGCACAAAGTTTTGCCTTATTATGCTATGTAACTTTCTGAGAAAATCTGTAGCTGTCCTCTCAACTGAATGAAAAGGTTTTTCCAGACCTCGTCAAGACTGAGTCCTTATCCACTACAACTGCGAAATCCCCTAGCACTTCAAGTTAATTTCTGAATTCTGCTGTAGCTGGAATTCTTTCCTAAGGGACAAAGAAGTGGTGAGTAGCAAACATAAGAGTGCCAACACAAGCAGAGAAAGAATTCTGCAGAGCCAGTCCTAAAGGATCTAATGGCAACTGGAGAACTATCCTTGGCCTTCCGTGCAGCAGAATCAGGTTCTGCATACTCACTTGGGCCTAAGAGCAGTCTTTTTATCACTGAACTACAAAATTAAAATAGAATGCTATCATCCCCTTCTCCTTGGCATTTCTGTAAAACTAACTTCCTCTCCCAAGCCTCCAAAAAATACTGAAGCAATTTGGCAGCTTATCTGCTAGGCACATGAATATACCTCTGAGGGGAATCAAGGCTTGGTACCTGCAGAGGTAGATTAGTTCTTCTGTGAATCTATTAATCAACCTGAAACTACACTGCAGCTTCTCCTTGATACCAAATACACAAAATTAAGTGAGTGTGCAGTAACTAATTCAGCAAAATTTTGACCCCTAAAAATAATGATGTCACACATTGTGACACAGTCTAGCATACACATAATCCTTTCTTTACTGATGTAGGTGAAACTGAGGAGGCTACAAAGCTTTACGACACAAATTGATATTGTGTTGTAAAGCACGCTTGAAGGCACACTTTCAAAGAAGCCCTGGTTGTGAATGTGCAGAAACACCTCTGTTTAAGAGTACGTTGAAGCATATAAACGCTGTCCTAACCATCTGCATCTTCTGAAGCCATGACCCAGTTATAAGCAGTAATCACATTAAAAATAATGTATATTTCTGAATTTTAAGTCTTGTGAACATTGTATATGACTTTTCACAATTCACTGTCATGCCACAGTGACTCTTCAACATATATCCCATTTTAGACTGTATCAAATCGATTAGACTGAAGAATTATTCTTTCCAGCTAAGGTTTATCCCCGGGCAAAATACACGGAAGGTTCTGCAAATCGTTTAAACTAGATAGGCCTTAAAGGTGGAATTAACTTTTCATAGTCTTTGTTGAGATTTTTTTCTCTGGTCTCTTTCCTCCTTCATCTCTTTATTAAAAACGTCAGTATTGTACTTAAATAACTGAAGCAGATCAAGTGAACTCTTTCAATGGTAATCCACCTTTGCCTTTGCACAGACGCCTTTTTTCAGCTTAGTTTATGTTACAGTTTATGTTATGTTAACTTGTTTAAGTTACTAGTTGTTCCTTCCGCTCTCTGAAAGGGAATGGTCTTGCAGCATGAGCAGAAACACAATACCTACAGCGCAAGCATTTGTAGAGTTGTTGCAGTTGAAGGGATGCAATTCTGTAGGCATCAAGCAAGGTGAACAGTATTTCTGGCAACAGCTCATACACTGGGGATTTATTATATATATTATCAATGTCCATTAAATAAGGTAAATTCCTTAAAAAAGGTGAACCTGTTAATTGTCCTGATGAAAGATAAAAGGCAGTGCACACAGTAATGAGTTTGATTTGCCAATTAATTTCTACAGATAATGATTTTATTATGTTCTTAGTGCTTCATTTTGTTTTTATTTCTCTTCTGGACTTGGCCATTTGTCAGATTTGCTGTAGGAGTTTTTCTATAGTCTAAATACTTAAGATATCTAAAAAGTGAAATCCTCTTGAAATTTTGCAATGAGTTTTCTAGCAAGAGACTTACAACATAAAGAAAGAACTACCTCAGCGAGGCAGTTAAATGGTTTCATATACCAACATCTAAATATCATGCAAACAACCACTGCAGAAAATCTCCTCAATAGCTAGGTTATAGTACAAATAAAGTAGATGGATCACAGAATCACAGAAATATTTAGGTTGGAATTGACCTCTGAAGAACTGAGCAGGGCTAACTTCAAAGCTAAATCAACTTGCTCGGGGCCTCGTCCAGTTGAGTTTTGGAAATCCTCAAGGATAGAGAGTCCACAGTTTCTGTAGGCACCTGTTCCTGTGCTGAACCATGCTCCTGATGAAGAATTTTTTCCTTAAGTCTAATCAGATGACGCACATGAACCTGACTGTTATTCCTGACATAATGTTATAACCTGGCCGGCCAAACAAATCTTACCTGGGCACCGGGGAGTTTTGTGGGCCACAGCAGTACCACTGATAGGTCGACCGTTAGGAGTGACACACCAGCAATATCCAGTGTAACTATGGCACTGAACCTGTCAGAAATGATACGAACCACATGCAGTCTATGAGACATTCATGACACGTGTACAAATGGCTAGTCCAACAAACCGCACTGGTAAAGTCTAGAACGATAAACCATGAAGGATCTTAATTTCAGTTCAATATATAATTCCTTAGCATAAAGAAGAGCTTCTTCCAAGCACAGTGTGGTAGGTCCTTCAGTTTACAATGGAAGAGAAAACTATTGAAATATGTTGTTCCTTATGCCCTATTTCAGAAGAGTGAGGTGCAGGTGTTATGAAAACCTCACAATGAAGGTCCTCAGGGGACACACAAACTGTTCGTGAAGTAAGTAATCTTGAGTTTTTTTCCACATAGAGAACATATTGTTCCACCCACTGAAAAAGCAGGACACAGCAGCATTCGCCAGCATTATTCATATCCCAAGCTGTCAGAAAGGAAACTCTTGGAATTCCTCTTAGAAATCAATTGCATTATATTTCCTGAGAGCCAATATCATTTCCCTCACCACACTTAAGCTAAGAAAGATTGTCTTCCGTACAACTCTGTAATTCTCTTTTTGTCTTCTGCAATTTAAATGCAGTAATGAGGTAGCAGAAAGCAACTGCAATTAGAATATATATCAAAGAACAAGCTTTTAACTGTCTCTCTTCTGAATTCTATGATCTAACCTACATAAACTGGTCTCGGGGTCATATGCTTGTACAGAAATTCAGCTGAGAATAGGGAAGATTCTTGTATGATTCATGCTTTAGCACAAAGATATGGACTCTTGTCACAAGATTTCTGGTTCAGATCAGGAGCAGATCAGAAATTCCAAACATTTTAGCATCTGATGAGAGTATTCAGGGGAATACAAGAATGATTAAGCTGTCTCAGCATAGAAGAATAAGGAGTGTATCACATGAACAATGGTAATGTTTGGCTCTTTTGCTGGCCAGCTCTGAAAAATGAACAAGGACTCAGCTGGCACAAAACAAATTTTCCTTCCATTTTTTAACCTTAGTGTTAGCACAAATTACATTCCATTTTGAAATTACATTTCATTACACTACATTCTTCTTCATTGTCTGCAAACACACAGAAATTCTAACCTTTTAGATAGGCAAAATACCGAATCAAAAATTTTCAACCTGACTGTATGTGCCATCGTCATTGCATTCTGGGATAAACACTTGTTGAAATTCCTTGCGAGCTTGTTCCTGGGTGTATTTCCTCTCAGCCACACATCTGGAAACATCTAGAGAAAGGCAGAAGATAAGTTAGTGTGGTGATGCAATGTAAAGGCAGGTGATAACTTAAGTGATAACCTAAAGAGAAAAAAGGAGGAAGGCTCTGAGACAGCCATAAAGAGAATGGAAATGACAATCAGTGATAAGGTGCAGTTACTTGGATTATTTTTTAAACGTAAAATCAATGAAAGACAATAATTGTATCTTAATTGCTTTTCAGGCTTTTGGTCAATATCACCCTAATTCACCTTCCTGATAATAGCATTTCCTATGGAGTATCATATGCCAGTCACTGGTATACCTTTGTTCTTCTTCCTACCTTTTGGCCGTCCATTTAACTTTTGAGTTCTTTCGTTTTGCCCAAACTTGCTCATGCTGCCAAGCAGTGTATATAAAACCGAAATTTTGCCATCTCAAAGGCAGGAGGTCACAAAAAGTGAAGCACAGAGGGGACGGCAGAACTGGTAGACAAAATAGAGGGAGAGCCCAGAGAGAGAGCCTTGCTGCTCTCGCTACTGCCAAAAATGGCAGAACAAATGAGGCTTTTCCTGCTGTCTCTTGGTGCTACTCTTCTCGGTGGCAGAAGCAGTAAGACCAGTTTTCTACTTTTTCATGAAAGACAAAGTAGAAACCAAGAAACCTTGTACTTCCTACTACGAGTTTGCATACTGTTTACTTCAGTTAGGCAGTGATCTCAGTTGTGACTATGAGTGCCACTGCCAGCTGGGTAAAAAAATTAAATTAAATTTCTTCACAGCACAGGGACTTGTTGGGGGAGTGGGCAGTTGAATAATAATTTTTTTCCATACTTAATTCATGTTATGCTAAAAATGTGTGGAACAGTTTATGACTTAGACTTAAGTCAAGCCTACCTCACGGACCTTTTTGTCCACTGTGTGGTTCCTTGTACCGTCTCACACATTACTTGGTACTGGTCTCTGTCTAAGGCAAGGTAGCAAACTGAACAGTTTTAATTCAGTAGAGTCTCCATTGTCTAATATATTATACTTTGATTAGGCAGCCAAAGACTGAGAAAAGATATATAATAACCTGTTGTACCTTCTTGGTTTAAGGTAATTACAAATTTTAGCAAGTTGCTGATGCAGAATTAGTATTTCAGGATCTGCTTGAGCTAAGCAATTTCAAGACAAATGAGACCACCAGACAAGGTTAAGGTAGCATTAATGATTTCAAGATGTGACCATAACATCTGGATTAGAATGATCTCAAGCATACAAGCAGAAAAAATTATTACTGCTGATCTCTTTATTTAAAGATTGTTTGACAATAAATGGCTGGTAGCATTCTAGGGCTAAAACTGTCCAGCATTTACGTATGAGACAGTGACGCTGTGGTGGTTGGTGACTGAAAATTCTTAGCATAGGGGCAGATTTTTTAGCCTATGTAAGCTGCATATTGAACAGAATCAGAAGAGTAAGGTAATAGCACTTTCATTTTCCCATTTGATACCAGCGCATCTTGACATTTCTCCAGCATCTAACAGTCCCCAAAAGCTACTCTGTCACTTAAGCCTGAGCCAGTTAAGTTCCTGGTCTCCCAAGCACCCTCTCTGTGCCACTACCATTTAGCCATATAAGCACAGAGCCAACTTGGAAGCTCTGTGTAACTGCAAAAAGCTGTCTGTAGTACAGGATGAATTCTTCACTGGTCAGCTCCACCAAGCTTTGGACAACTTACCTAGCAACATTAGTACAAAAAATTCCCTTGAAGTCCTAGACAATCATCTAGTGTGGAAAGTGTAGCATACTGAGGACAGAAACCAGTCCTCAGTATGTGTGCCCTGAACATAAAATTGGGCCCCCTTAATTCTAATCTTCACAGTGATTTATCTTTTGATCTTGAATCTGTATGCATTACTTCTGTGCATTACTTTACTGTTCTGTAAAATAAGATTTTACTTATATCACAGGAGCGTTATGAGTGTTATTAGAGAGTTCGTGTTGGTAAAATGTCTGAAGTACAAGATGTTTTGCACAGAAAAATATAAGTTTCAGACTTAAATAAACTCAATCATATTATGCTGTTTCACAGAGATGCAGTGCCACCAAAATTGGACAGAAAAGTTAAACCAGCCAGAAATATCAGAAAGATAGTAAGAGACTGAAATAATTTGTACGTTGCTACTTTAATAATATTAGATTTTCATCACAGAAAAATTGCAATTATGTACTGTGCAGCTCACACAGAATCTGTTAGTATATGCACTGCCAAAGTTTGTGAAAAAGAAACAAGAAATATTTTAACCAACCTTTGGTGTCATTTGCCTTATTCTGAGTATGGTTTGGTTACACAGTATTTAATAACATGTGGTTTTAATGTAGCTAGTATTTTAACTGAAAATAAATCACTTCTTTGTTGGACCTCTGTCCTCGTTTTTCTAGAATGACATGTGGTTTAAATGTCTAGAAGGAAAAGTGATATGAATTCCATGACATTAGGTCTCTTCTATAGTACCAGCAGGCTTATAAAATATCTTCAATATTTGAATTATCATAAAAGCACACCAGAGAGAAAGAGAAGTTCTCCAAATTGTCCACCACTTTGTTTCTAAACAGCTTTGTGTTCTAAAGGCATCCTATTTGTAGATGATCTAATATTCTTTAAAAACACCAATGGTCAAATTTAGTGGAAAATGAAATTCAGGTTTCAAGCCTTGTTTTGTATTATAACCATGGAAACACTTTAAAGCTGTTGGGCATTAACGTCCTTCATTAGGTCAAAAAAAAATCTTAGTAAGAAGTTTTCTTATCAAGTTAAGCATCTGAAACCATGAATAGTCAAAATATTATTCCTAGTTCTGATTTTTTATTTCATCAAGGTATTACTATAGGGTAAGAACTATAAGAGAGATGCAATCCAAATCTGATAGAAGAAATGTAACATGGTTGTTAAGATAAAAAGAAGGCATACAAAGATATTTTTCCTTGAAATACTAATTAATATTAGATTACTAATACAGAAGAGCTAAATTCATTCTAAATACATCACTGAAGTCAAAAGGTGCTACCATATTTTTGATGATAAGTTTGTAAGATTATCCCACCTGAGTGTCTGCCTGTGTGTTCCAGTCACAGTATTTTTTGAGTTTACTGCCTAATTTCAACCATATTTTCCAGAGGAAAGGAAGAATTCAAGAAAATTATGTTCTATAGCTTGTCTAAAATAACAGCTGAGAAAGGAGAAGAAACTTAAACAGCAGGAAAGTGTGAAACACGAGCTCACATAGAAGTATTTACACAAGAGACAGATATTAAACATGCCATCAGATGTAGGAAGACCTTGCAGCTCCTAACAGACAAAATTCAGTCAAGTAAAAGACTCAAACTTGTAGAGAAAGCAATCATTCACGTGTCCATTGCTTATACTCACTCAGTGAAGCCAAATGCTGGGTCAACTGTGCTAAGTCCTAAGTGTGCACTCAGCAGTGCAGAATTCTTGCTTAAGGGCCCCTCTATGTACCTCACACAACTGCAACTAATGAAGATGATTCATATATGCACCCCACATCAGTAGGACAAGTCTAGGCCTAAGTGGCTTGCTAATACAAAGCTCACAGAAGTATTGACGTCTAAGGGGATTCCAGTGCGATCTCTCACACACAGATTCATCTTTCCTTGTTAGCTACAACAGGGATGATTTAGATCAGGAGGGCCCCTGATCTATCTTGAAATGAAGACCGAGAGTAAAATATGGTGGGACTTACCTGACAGCTCTGTGTTGACTGAATCAGCTCACAGCTTTGATTTCCATCATCAGAGCACCTGGCCAAAGGAGTCATAGCTCTTTTGAAGTGAAAGGAATCACACTGGTGAAACACAACCCAAGATCAGAGCGGACTCCAAGTTTGCAAGGTGTCGGAAGAGGAAAAGCACTGTGCAATGCTGTGCATCACTGGGATAAGTCAGTCTCATTGCAATGTATTGAGCTCTAGAAGAAAAGCTTTTCTTTTTTTCTTCTTTTTAAACTCCCACTTTATTTCTCCTCTAGTTTAAGTATTAATAGGGAAGCAATCCAGCAGGCTCCAACAGCAATTCAGTGTATGACATCATAGTGAAAAGCCTGGTTCCAGGACCCGTAGAAAGCTGAAATGAGGCTTTATTTGTCTATATTCAGACAATGGAAAAAATAATTTTGCAGGTATGTATGCCCAACTGTAATTTTGAATTACTTCAGTGGCTAATGGGGTGAGATTCTAATCTCTCTACTCCAGGAAAATGGGCTCTTCCTTCCTTCCAGGTAAAT